CAGCCCAGCGAGCGGCTCGGCCTGGTGCTCCGAGGGCCCACCCACGCGTCATCGACCCGGTCCCGCTACGGCCGGCATCGCGGCCGGCGCTGCCCGAACGAGCGGGCATGGTGACGCAAACGCGGACCGACAGGCCCCCCGCTGCTCTAACCAGCTAACGGTCTGCCGCCAGGCATCCGGGGGCTTTTCTCAGCAGCCGTGAGACGCATGCATGGAGATCCAGACAAACATACACCAGCCTGAGCACACGTAGCTGTGCAGCCTTCCGCCATTTTTAGCTGGGAACCATAAATAGCTAAAAGTCAAGTGCTTAAGGAGATACAAAGCACTGTGGGGTCCTTAGATTGACCCCCCCCCCCCCCCCAACAACAGGGGTCCCCATCGATAATACTCAGCACTATGTCCAGGATCCTAAGATCGCACTCTGGAAAACAGACTACCTCAGAATGTCAGCGGTACACCTGTTGTCACCCCAGCCGCCTTTGTGCAAAGACCCCCCCACTCCTCGCCTGCCAGCACCCCATAAAAGAACATCTACTGCAGGAGCCAATGGAAATGCAGCTCTGTAATTTGGCCTGGATGGCTTTCATACCAAAAACACAGAACAAACTGCACCATTATAAAAAGACCACATAGGTTTGCTGCATAAGTGATCGGCAGTCGGGGGGGGGTTGTCAAGCCTTCAGAGGTGGGACAGACAGCAACCCCAGATACCATGTGACAATGCAGTGAGCCATGTGATGCGGCCCTGATAATGGAGCTGATCTGAGATGACAGCTATAGGGGGGAGGTGGTATTGCAGTAACACTGCCCTAGCAGTGTGTGATATATGTGAGACACACTGAATGCCAGAGGGTGAAGCTGACACACTGACTGCAGTGACACACTGACTAAGCTGACACACTGACTGCAGTGACACACTGACTAAACTGACACTGAAACACTGACTGAACTGACACTGAGTCACTGACTGCTGTGACCCACTGACTGTACTGACACACAAACTAAACTGACACTGACCCATTGATTGCACCGACAGAACTGACACTGGCATGCTGACTGCACTGACACAGACACAATGACTGCAATGACACACTAACTGCACTGACAACACTGGCATTGACTGCACTGATACTGACACACAGACCAAACTGACACTGACTGAACTGACACAGAGACATTAACTGCAGTGACACACTGACTGCACTGACACTGACAGAGCTGACACTGACACATTGACACTAAACCTGACACACTGCCTGCACTGACACTTAGACTGATTGCACTGACACTGACAGAGCTGACACTGACACATTGATTGTAATGGGCTGATATTCTTTCAGTATTCTGCATAGTCCAAGCACAGCATTTTCTTCACCTTCAGGATGTATTGATTTTTGTGCCTTTTTCAAGGACATTCACCTTTTGAGTGAAGAAGTGAAAGTAGGAAAAGAGGGCAAAGGAAGGTGAGGGGAAAGTGTGTGTGTGTGTGTGGGGGGGGGGGGGGGGGGGGGGGGGCAGCGTGAGCCAGGTGGCACATGCCTCTGACCCAGATTGGCTGCAAATCTTTGCAGGGCTTTTTTAAGTGCCGTTTAATGTCCCGAAATTAACACACAATCCAGTCAATAAGGACCATCTGTATACAAGCAGCAGAAACGTGCCCCCACACCCGGCCGCTGAGCGCTACTAAAACGACCTCCTCTGTAAGACAAACCAGCCGCCCGCCGCACCGAAATCGAGAACAACAAGCCACCCCCGTCTGACGCAGGAGCAGATATCGGCCATAAATCTGCGCCTTGAAGCCCCAGGAAAGACCGACCACCGCTCATCTGCCAGGGCGGGGGGTCCCCAGGCACCACTATCAAAACATTTCCCACATGGTGTTGCCATGGAGCGTCCTCCGAGATATGCATAGAAACCGGGTTCAGCTTGAGAGCGAGCTATCCGGGAGTCATGGAGACCCGATCTTATCAGCCGACTCCCCTTTTCCTTAAATGCATCTCGAGTTTGTGCGAAGTTCCTCCAGCAGCGCGCGGAGCATCGGCTTGATTTAAGGCCACGGCGAAGGCCGGCGATCGCTCATCTGATACTGGTCTCCCGCCTGGCATGGTGAAGTACCTCAGCTTTATACTGGTGGAGCGCCAACACGGCAAAGGGCTAATACCATGAATACCTACGCTGATTTTCATTTTTTTTTTTAAAAAAAAAGACACAACACACACTTCAAGATATCATTAAAGCTAAAGCAAAGGTATTCACTGAGCAATGTTTACTCATTTTGACTCTGAACAAATAAGGAAGACATTTAGGAGGAAGACAATCCATTAGAGAACAGCAAACGGGAGCTTTTTACTGTGTGCGCAAGAGTTTATACATGCATATATAGCCCAGATCTTAGAAACTGCTACTGTGCTGTTTGCTTTAATGTAACTATTAACACCGAATTACAGCAGGAAGACAATGCATACATAGTTTCTTCTGCCTGGATTCAGGTCGTCTGAAAAAAGTCCTACATGATAATTAGTAGGGAAACCAAATCAAATACCTTAATTTCAATTAGTTCATTTGTGCACCTCAAGAAAAAATAACTCCTCTTTGTAGCGATAATAAATCATTCAGTTACCTAATTTTTCGAGTGCAATGAAGTATTAAGTAATCCAAGTAATTAAATAATGAATCAAAATTACACCAGATATTGTATTATTCAATACAGTGCAGCTTTTGTCTCAGTTTTCATTAGTAGAATGCTCAAAATACGTATGTTAAAACGAACAGACCAGGACAAAGAATGCCAGCGGAGAGGCGTCGAATTGTGCTATTCACACTAAACAAGCCCTTTTTTGCACAATGGACAGAGTATATAAAAAACTTGGTATGCTGGTGGGCATGCGCAGAACACACTGTAAAAATACGATAACACACACACACACACACACACATATATATATATTTCACAAAAGCGACATTCCATATATCAAAGCATGATACTCAACAGAAGATACCAATTGCTTATCTTCTACATACAACGTACAGCCTGAATTGTGCAAACCACATTCCCTGTATAATTCATACAAACCAAAAATAAACCTTATTTCCTAAAGGTAAAGATTCACTCGCCTTTCAAACTCCCTTATTCGGCTGCCTATGCTTCATCTCAACTCTTTTCCAGACTAATCTCTAAATGTCTGTACCTAATTCCTATTGTTGGTTAAATACTGTCGAACTGTAGGCTACTTGAATCCGCAAAGCTTCTCACCCTTAATATCGAAATTAATTTCACTGTTACCGTTTTCACATCGCATTTTTCCTTGCCATTTGTTAGCGTTTATCTTTGAAAAGTCATCGACGTGTTGTTCCGTAAACTTGAACTGTACTGAGTGGACATGCTTCTCATTGCATGGAGCCGGTCCCCGAATTTGTTGCTGCGTTATGATATTATGAGACGGATACTATAAATCCGCCCTCCTTTCCGCCTCACTCACTTATATACAGCATATGTTGAGGGCGATTCACATATTTCTCCAGAACTCGCGTTTTGTAAGGTAGGTCTGCAGCCTTACGGTGGAAAGCTACAGTACAGCGTCGTGTTCCTGCGGACATGCAGACAACCACGCCAGACGGACAGCACCTCCCCTGGTCTTCAGTAATCTGGCAATGACCAGTATTAACTTTAATAACACTAACGATAATGTAAATTCACCAGCGAGTGCATACATATTACACAATTGCTTCTCTTTCAGAGCATCAAAAGTCAAAACCCAAATACCTAGGTAAGAATTGATTATTTGCTATATTAAAAGTGACAGTGTGCATTCACAATTGTCTTTCTCTCCTTAGTTTCCTAACGATACCACCAAAAATTGCGAAAGTTTTAAACGTTAAGACACCACATTTCTTTGAATCGCTCCTTAAAATGGCTTGGTCTCGAAATCGATTTCATTGCTACCAGACGAGCATGTCCGAAAATAATGGTTTTGCTTATAATTTTTTTTTTATCAGTTCCGCACAGTGAATGATGGCAGCGTAATGATTTACTACGAGGGTAACTACGATTAACAGGACAACACAACACAAATTCACACCTGGACGGTATACGGTTCCATTTATGCGGGCAATATTTTTTTACAGGCCACGTATAAGGATAACGGGAAGTCTTTCGTGATAGTACCGTAGTGACATTGAAGGAAATTTGCAGATCTGGTCGCAATACAATTCATTCAAGAGTCACAATGCGCTCCTTCGCTATATAGACTAACGGTCGCAGTTCCCAGCGCCTTAGCATCGGTGCCGTGTACGCAGAGAAACCGGCTTGGACCGCATAAATAACGTCAGATCCCAAAGATTCGTGCTGCAACATTTCACAGGGTCACCCGAGCTGACTTCCAGCTACATCTTTATGCACACACATTTCACCTATGCAAACCCCCAGTCTGCACCCGCGATCCTGCACCGTGCGAACAGATGCTTTGATGGAGGCGATTAAAGACCTCTGAGTCCTCTGACGAAAGGGGAAACCCCTCTTATCATAAATCTGGACACTACCTTTCTGTCTACCTTTCGATGTCATCGTCAGACGGAAAGACGTCTCATCGGAACTAAGACAATGATCGCCAAGTATTGTTCTCGGTCTTTCTTGCCCGCCTTTATGGCAGGTGTGGATGTCGCTGGCCGGTTGCGCTCCCTGTCACTCCGCCTGTGAAATCCTGCTGCATCACCGCCTCACGCAGCACCCGCAAAGACATCCAAAGAAACTCTGTCTGTAGGCATCCCGTCATCGCCAAGCATGTAATGCAGATGTAGAAACTATAATACCCCCCAAATCGATTCAACGAATTGTTCTGAAGTACGATAAAAAAATAATAACTGCAATGCAATCAAGCCCGATAGCAATATACAATGTAAACGACGCGCAACCTATTATATAACAATGCCCCTAAAATTACCAGTTGCTATTAATACTGAAACAATAGTAATTGAATACATGTTAAAATTGCACCTACATTTGACCACTCGTTCAGTGGCGTTTAACACCATGTCAACGTTAGACATCTTCATGAGCAGTTGCTCTGTCGAGGCGAACGTTTTTATTCCTCCGGCAGAAGTGACTGTTTATTCTTGGTTTGTTTTCGCTGGCGCGAGATGACGGTGCTGCAGGAGCATCACTCGGTGCGTCCCCCCTCCCCGCGTCTCACCGCCACCGGACCGGGGATGTCAGATGTCTGCCGCTACAATGCAAGGCTTCTGTGCTGGATTGTCGTGTGGGGGAGGATGGCAAGATGGAATGAGGAGGGGGCAGAGAGAGAGACAGAGGGAGAGAGAGGGAGAGAGAGGCGTTCAGTATTGGAGATCCTCACCAGCCCGATATGGCGAAGAGGGAACTCCCACGCAATAGCTTCCAGGGACTGCCTGATACTGCCATCAGGTGGAGGCAAGCCGGGGTTTCCCAGGCACGCGCCATGTTTTGCTATTACATGCGGCTCTCTTTGAACCTTGTG